AATTTGTACCACTCTAAAAGCAAATTCCAAGTCCCTAACCAATCTCTCATCAATCTTTCTATGTTTTTTAAATCTTTCCACAGAATTAGTAATCAAAATAACACGATCGGAGGCTTGTTTAAATTTGAGGGTTAATTCTTTATGAAGTAAATGTTCTCTATCATGTGGTTGTATATCACATAACATTAGCACAGTATTAGGCCGATCTTGATCATCGTGCATTTGTAATAATAGTGAATCATCAGTATGATTACTATGAGAAGTTGTGCAGTTGTAGATTTGCATTTTTGGTGGGAGAGAAAGGTATTTTTTTGCTGTTACACGCCAGAATTTCTCGCGTGAAAATCCACGCCAAAAAATTCTTGGCGTTATTACGCTACGCCACTTTTTCGAACCCTTATTAGAAAATCCAATAAGGAAATTAAACTCTCCATTTCGGAATCCTAATTTGTTTTGAATGTCCTCTCATTACTTTCAAAAAATACCTCCACTCATCATCATTGGTATTTAATTCAATCAAATCATCATCATTTTGGAATATTTCAATTATATTAGCTGGGATACATCTCACCAATAGTAATTATAGCAATATTTTATGGTAGTTCTTCTTCTCGGAATGAATTATAGTACTTTTCTATCATCGGAAATTTCAAGCTTCTAAATATCATCATTAAGCTGAAATTCATCATCACAGTATATTTATTATTATATTACTAGTAATTTGAGCAATTGAAATCTCCCTTAGTAGTTGTAATAGGGTAAAATTTCAAGTTTATAATAATATCATCCTCATCAGGAGATTTACTTGTTCACTAGGAATTTCTTCAATTAGGGATTGTTGGCAATACTCTATAGTATCACCAATATCAATAGCAGGAATTCATCTTCTCATTTCATCAAGTTTGCTTCATGTATATTTTGAAAATATACAAATGCCACAACTCAACATGTACTTCATCATCTTCCAAACTTTCTTCGAATAGTACTATTCAAATATATCATCAACAACATTCCGAATAATAGTTTTTGGATATTTGGAGTTTTCACCTTGTTGGTGGTGTATTCATCATTCACCAAATATTTCATCGTGACGATTGAATTTCAACAACATAGTATTGTAGTTTTCCTAGAAACCATGACATAAATTTTTTCACCTCAACACCAATCTTTTTTCCATCTCATCCATGTTGATCGATTAAAATCCATCTATTCAATCTGTTTTTTGATCAATCTATCAAACAATCGATCATGATTAATCAACAATTTCAATCATATTGAATAAAGACTTGATGTTATTTGAAAAGGCTCAACCTTCAGCTAATTATCAAAAGATGTTGTTTGATTTCTTATGATGTTTCAAAAAAAAGAACTTAAAACACAAAAAGTTGGTTTTCTAAGTGCTTAAAATCATGTTAGAAGCCAATCTCCTCCGATGTGGCATTTGAATATAAATTTCTTATAATCCTTTCTGAGCTCAGTGACAGAAGGTTGCTCCCAACCTTTTTCCACGAATATGTCAAGTGCTCACTCTTGATTTTAATTTGGGATGTGGATATTGCAATATTACATAAGAGTGTTGGTTCTTGATTAAATGATTGCTTACACAAGTTTGGACGTTGTTGCTCCTGAACATGTGGTTTTGTTCAAAGAGCATTTTATCAAGTTTGCTTTCATTCTCACCCTTTGTCATTAATTAAGGCACTCAATACTGGAAACCTTTTTTCAAGTGTTGTATTTTATCATGTCAAGTACTTGAGAAACTCATTTGATGTAGTAGAAGATCCACATTGTAAAGAAATTAAAACATTCAAACTTAATGAATCGTTCCGATGCCATCCCAGCTTGATATGGAATTCAGTAATACCAATAAGGTGATTTTCAAGGCACTCTGTACTGACATCTAACCAAGGGTTGATTTAAAATGAAAAAAGGAGCAATTTGGAGAAGCCATTTCGAAGCTTAGTGAAATAAGTAAGGGAGAATGAAATCTGTGACTCTAAAAAAATAATTGAAAAACCAAAAAACAACTCTCAAAAAGTCAAAAAGGCAAGAAAAAAATCAAACCTGAACTGGAAGAACAAAAGAAATCATCAAAATCAAAGTCTCAAGCTCAGTTCAATGAGGATTTCGAGATATCTGATGAAAACATTGATCGATCGATCGATTGATCGATCAATTAATTGATAAAATTCTATGTTTCATCCATTCAATCGATCATTTTCCATCTCGATCAATCATCGATGGGTAAAAAAAATCCATCGAAAAATTTATGTCATGGTTTCTCGAAAACTACAATATCATTAGTAGGGATGTCTAATATCACCATCAAGAGAGTAGGAATTTTTCCACTTAGTATTCATCGAGTTGGGGAGTTTTCACTTCATCAAATCTTTTATCATCAATATCATCAACAAGTTCACTTCCGATCATTAAGGAAAATATATTTAAGGTCATCATCACCGAACCATCAATAAAATTCACAAACAGTGAATTTTCCAACATGGTAAATTTCAAGGTCGGAAATCTTGCTGATTTTCAACCTTGATTCACAACAATTTTCAATAAATTTTCAATTTGTTTTATTCTTGGTGTGTTTATTTCAATCTATATTAATTGCTTTGCTCACATTCCACCATTCATAGTTTAAATATTAAAATTAGTAGATGATGTCTTTTCGTTGAAGGTTGTGTGAATCCTACCCTTATTTGGACCTTAGGAGAAAATCTCATTTTAAGGAGATTTTCTCCGTATTAAAGTATTAACAATACTACAAGATGTAATACTGTATTTAATAAATACAAGAGTTAAATATTATTTTCACAGGAAATTATACTCTCTTTGCTTAAAGGTAATGATTAATGAGTGGTGTTAATTTCTCGGAACAAGATATCTTCCTCATGATTAAAATCATCAAAGTAGTGATTATATTTTTTCAACTCTTTGGTTTTGTAATAGGAGAATAATGTTCAATATACAATATATTAAACTCATCAGTGGTTGGATGCCCTTCAATTTATTAAGCTTAGTTACAACTTGTATTAATGTCCTATTAAGGTCTTTTCTGCGTTTGTAAACCACGCGAGAATTTTCTGGAGTGGAAATTTTGGCGTAAAAGCCACGCGGAAATTGTGGCGTGTAACATTTGCAGGAATTTTTAAGGGATGAGTTGTTGTGGAGTCTGTTAGATGAAAATATTCGTTTTAATTTGTTTCCTCTTTCTTCCTCTTTCTTAATAAACAAACAGCAATAATAATTATTGAGATGACAACTGCAATTACACATACTCCTCCAACTGCGCCTACAATAGCTCCAATTAAAACAGTATTATCTTGAAGTATTTCAGCATCCTTGGTTGGTTGATTTGATTGAGCAGGTTGAGGTGTTGGTTTGGTGGCTGCCTTCTTGTAATTTTGGTCAATTACAGAAAATGAAGTCAAGTGATTGGTGTTACATAGGATGGAGAGTGTTAATGTGATATTTCCATCTGCAAGGTTGTGAATTTCTAAATTTTTAATCTCAGTTTCCATTCCGTCTGATTTCCATTCTTTAGAATTCTCCTCATAATAAACACATGAAATATTCAAAGTTTCAATACTTGAAACTGTTAGAGTAACATTCTCAAACGATAGTGAAATTGGTTTTTCAAGATTTTGAACTGTAATCTTTTCACTTGAACTTGATTTCAATAAAACCAAAGAAACAATGGATGAAATGACAGCTGCATCACTATTTGAATTCTTACTTTCGGCAATTGAGGAGACAACTTGAACTGAATCATTCTTGAGTGATGTATCAGTATTTTGAAGATATTGTGAAATGATTGATGGCAAAGAAATGGAAATTGTTGAAGTTGAGGCAAACTGGATGGTCTTTGAATCTAATTGAGTAATATTTGAAACTTTGGTAATCTGAGTTTCGGTTGTGTTAAAGGATGAGAGAGGAGAGCAAACATACGAGTTTGGATACAGAGTGCAGTAATCTGCATTTGAATTATCATCAT